AATCCAAATGATAACAGCCTTGACTTTGTGGCCCCTCCGTCTGTTTGCTGCCCAATAAATAAAGAGTCTGTGATTATAGACATGCCGTTTTTGATTCGACTCTTCCCGTTACTACAGAGAGATCTTTCTGAAACACTGCCTTAGACATCTTAAAATAATAAAATGAAATGTCACTGCAGCTTAGTAGCAAAACTCAGGCTGTAACAGTAAATAATGACTATTTGAGCATCGATCAATCAATGTATTCAGCGGTCAAAAGTCTCATGACATCATCCGTGACTGCATGGGAAAGACCCTCCATACATAAACAAATAGCTGGCTCTCAGAGTCTCAGACAAAAACAAATGAACGCACATTGTCATACAAATAATTGGAAACAAATAGGTGCAAAATAGACAAACAACAAACAGATACACATACCAGGACGGATAAAAGACAGCTGAAAAGTGGAAGAAAGCAGTTTGTGTAGATGACACAGTATCCTTGCCCATATATGGCCGCTGCTGTCCTCGTCTTTTGTCCTGCTGAGCGGGACAGCCACTGTAAAGGTCTCAGAAACAGCAGAATTCAATTACATAACAGACTTGAAAACAACTAGGAGTGTAAGCTAATGATTAAAGATTGAGCTGGACAGGATTTGTCAATGAATGTGAATGGAATGTGTGGTATGGCTGGTGGTACCACCAGTTTACAAAACAGAACAATCTGCAGTCTAATCCAGCTCAAGAACAAACAAGCTTTTATAGTTGTCTGAAGTAAGTTGTTGCGTTTATGTAACCAAATCAAACAGAGACAAAAATGAACAGACCCCAGTTTCTGACAATGTTTCCAATGATCATGCAGTCATGACATGACGTCTTCTGTCGAGAATCAATGGACTCTCAAAACTATCAAACTTTTCCACTTTCCTGTAAAGTCTGAGGATCTTGATTATCGGATTCTGCGTTTACCGAAATCAACATGAGTCAGAAGTTCTTGAACAAATGAACAGCCAGTTTAAATGATCTGTTATTCTTCATGAATGTACATTTCCCCTCTGTTGGACGAATACAGGTATTCTGATGAATGAATATGATTAATCAATTTACGATAAATAATGTACAAAACGTACATTGACTTTGTTTTTTTCCGAAAATGAGAGTTGCCACGTTAGTTTATTGTAAGTTTTACTGTTCAGTATACCCACGCAAAGAATGGGTGTTTTTTTCTCCTGCATAATTACTTTTCTTATCATACATCTGCATCAAGTTAGCCATATAAGTGCACAGCCAGAAAGGACTATACAGATTCCTTTTAACAGCACTGAACGGCCTTTGGGAATCTGTGTTGATAGGCACGAGTAAACATGGTTGCTATGCAGTGAGGGAAATAGAAGAAACCCTGAAAAATAGCAGCAGCTTTTACAGCTTTTGAGCAATTTATGAATACTCTAAGTCTATTTATATAGATTTACATCGGACTAGGCGGATGAAAAGCTGAACTTCACTTTCTGAATACCAACTAATACATTACATTTTACAGTTAGCAAAAGATATGTAGAGAAATATCAAATAAACCTCTTTCTTAAGTGCTTTGGTGTTTTGTGTACAGTACATGTGTCCTTAAACAAAAAGCACCTTAAACAAACTCCTACCTAAACTATTTTCTACGAGGAAGAAGCATGTGTTTGAAGAAAGTGCTGTTTTATAAAGGCCACCATATGTCAAGACAGTAAATGACAAAACACGAAAACAAGAGCAAGCCTGTGGTTTGTGAATAGCCAGTCAGTTATCCATCAACCTTAAGTTATTTAACAATTTGGTCATGTGGAGTCAGTCAATATTTACTTAATGTGGACTCTGACTGGACATGGGGTGGGAAATGCATTTAATGACCAGTATGTAGCCAATGGCCTCAATAAGTTATGGAAAGTGAGGTCAGGATGCACGTTTCAGTTAAAACATGTTTCATCTTTGTATTGGATGGGTCACTGTTTTGGAATTGTCTGCAGGAAGTGCAAATGATTAATGAGAGGCAGAAACTACCTTTTGCCATTTTTTTTATTGATTACTGGAAGTCCTTTTCTCCAAGTCCAGTCACTACTAAAACGTCTGTGCAAAGGATCACCAAAGGTTCATAATGTTCCTCTCCAGGAGCATTATGATTGCTATTGTTGCATGTTTTCTGAGTATTAAGAGTAGGAATAAGAGTTTATTAAAAAGCCGGGGAAAATGGATCTCAATATTAAATGAACAACAGATGATCCATCATTTTTATGCAACACTATTTATTTTAAAGCACTAGTTAAATCGTGGATTTTCCTTTTAAAAGAGGCTACAATCAATATATATAACAAAATGTAATTTTACATTAGTTTTGTGTATGCTTGTAATGTTGAACCCACAAGAATTATGACTTTGCAGCTACCCTCAGTAATACAAAGTGTTTTAGGGTCTTTTAGTTTATGTTTTGGTCTTATCAGCATTGTTTCGGGCAGCAGAAAGCGGATGGTGGAGCTGAACAATAGAGATAAAACAGAGGGAATTATTGACTTACTTTCCCTAGGAACACAAGTGTTACCTTATTGTAATGGTAGAAATCTTAATTAGGCCTATAGATAATTTGCTTAACATCCAATTAATTATACCGTTTTTTTTCACTGGAATACATCTCCTCATAAATTGGCCATTCATACTGTAAAGGCCCTGACACATCAGGCCGATTTCGGCTGTTTTCGTAAGTCGGGAGACGAAGCGTGTCCTGTCCATGGATGTATAATAAGAACTGGATACAGCGTGGGAGGCGGGGCCTCATTCATTCCTATGAGAGCTGCTCATTAGCGCATGATGATAAAATGGCCCAACTTTTGAGAGAGTGAAACGTCACAGATTACCCAGCATGCCTGAGAAGTACCCGTATGTGCACTCATAGAGCATGCGCAACTTTAACCAAAAATGCTCGTTCACATCAAGCACGTCAATTTGCGTACACGTAACAGCACCGTGCGTTCATGACAGCATGGTAATGGATGTTAGCACCGATGTAGCTACCACTAGCTTACATGCTAACCCAAGCCTTACCATTCATTACGTAGCTGATTAAAATCATTAACACATAAATAAAGCACTAGAATTTCACTTACCGCAAAACCGCATTCATCCACCGTCTATTTTAACCGCAGAGCGAGTCACAATAGTCCGATATATAACCATGAAGAACAAACAACCACGGCCGGCTACAAGTTGTGTTTCTTGGATGAGCTGAGCAGGCAGAGTCCCTGTAGCTAGCTTCACGGAGCAGCTAGCAGAGAGACAAGAAGCTAACAGCGGCAGGCACTTGAGAGAGCCGTCACTCAATGTGACCACGCCCTAATGTATGCACAAACTTTAAGACCTAATATAAATAAAAGGGTCGCGTTAGAAAACAATTCACTCACAGATCCATAATCATGAAGGTGGAATCTAACTATATCGATAATAAAATGTATGGAGCCAGGGGTAGAAACATGTTTTTTTCTGCTGTAAATTTGGGCATTTTAACATGGGGGTCTATGGAAATTGCTCCTTTCTGGAGCCATCGCCTATCGGCCTATGGAGTAGGGGTGGGCGGATCGATCCCAAAATATCGATACTTCCGATATTACGTTACGTTTCAAAATATCGATACTAGAGCCAATAGGATCGATACTGTTATACTTTTTTTCTCGTCTCCTCTACTCGTCAATTTCTTCAAAAAACTATGTGCAGACGAACACAAGTATATGCTCTTTTCTTCTCTATCCACTGCTGTCCTCTTCTCCTCGAGGCTCCCTGTCTGAACGCCGATTATCAAGCTGACTGACAGCAGCCAGCAGGGCAGGACAGCAGCAGCCAGCGACTCGCGAGTGCAACACACACACGCGCATGATGGCTGAGAGAAAGAGCAGCGTTGTGTGGAGCAATTTCACAACTGGCAATTAAAACTTAGCGAACTGTGATGTGTGCAAGAAGACAGTTCGCTACTTTGGCCACTTTGTATTGTTATTTTTCATGTTTGCACTTTAAATTTGCAAAAGTAAAACGTGTATTTGTCTATAAAAACTGTCCTGTCTTTATTCATGAAAATGAATTCAGATTTAGTCTATTTATGATTATTTCAGCTCAAAAATCATGTCATGCAGCTCTCCCCTATATGAAAGTACATAAGACGCTTTTCATTAAAAAAAAGTATCGGTATCGATGTCGGTATCGGCGATACTGGCCCTGAAATACTTGGTATCGGATCGAATCCAGATTTTGTGGTATCGCCCACCCCTACTATGGAGAGGCGAAGTCACGCCCATCTACTTCCGGACCATGGGACCCCGGAAGCGAAACATTTACATTGAATTCAATGGAGAGAGAACACATATCTTTTGATCCCGTTTGAATTGTGCCACGAACTACACATATGATGTTTGTCAATCTTAAACAATCATTTCCATGTCAAAAAAGTCACATTTTGTTGTAAAACTGCTGAAATATAAGACTATGAAAAATATGCTACTACAAAGACTACAAATCCCAAATCCCATTCTGGGTCGCGTAAGTGATGCTCGGTGATTTATAATAAGACTCGTAATTAAAGCGAAGAAGAAGAAGATCTCATAACTGATTTATTACCTCCAATAAATTATAGATCGCTAAAAATAAATTCACTTTTACAAGATGCCTGTGTGCTTTGTACCAGGTTGTAGTCATAAAAGTGATCATACCACTTGCTCCTTCTATCGATTCCCGTCTGATGAAAGGACCAGGAGTCGCTGGATCAGACATATCAGGTAATATCATAGGTAATATACATGTTGTGCATGTTCATGTGCATAGTCAAGTTAGCTACCTAGCTAGTAGCGACGAGTAGCGAGCACGTTAGTTAGCATTAGGGGAGAGTGGGGTAATTTGTGCCAAGGGGCAAGTAGTGCCACCCCTGTTATCTAGAAAACCATAGAAGAAGTTGGTCATGTGACCACATATTTTTGAAGAGGCATCCATTTCGACCATCCTGCAAAGAAGGGAGTCACATGGCTTGAGAGGTAAGCACATTTAAGTTAAAAAAACTATTTTTTGCCCTCCAAAGTAAAATTTCTATGATCAAGGTTTTTTGATTGCTGTGTTTGAACAATTTAGACAACTTTAAAAACAGTTCACACATGTTTTAGTGCTTTAGTAAGCTACGCCATGAGTCTATACAGTTAGCATGATGCTAGCTCAAAAAAGCTGGGGGATGCATTTTTTTCAAAATGGTGGGCTTGGAGTGATTTGTGCCAAAGGGCCTGGGGTAAGTTGTGCCAGTGGCACAACTTACCCCAATTTATGATTATATTACTTTATTGTATTTTATTGTTATTGTACATTGTATTCTTACATTTGATCACTAAAACTATGTGACATTCTTAATTTTAGACCAAAATCCATCATGCCACGCACATACAAAAGGAAGACAGACAGGGTTTCAACTCCTCTTGAGGAGTTGGAAAGAGCAGTGAAAGAGGTGCAACAGGGGAAGACCATACGTCAGGTTGGAAAGGAGATGAAGATCTGCAGGATGACCATAAAAAGACATATGGATAAGAAAAAAATAGGAGAAGTAACAAAGCCAGGCTATGAAAGAACAGCAGTCGCCAAACGAGTCTTCAATGAGAACATGGAGAAAGAGCTGGCTGACCATATTAAGACACTAGCAGCAATGTTTCATGGCATAGGTGTCATGAAATGCCGTGAACTGGCTTTTGAGTTCGCACAAAGAAATAGCATTGACATGCCTGCCAGCTGGACCAGAGACGAAAAAGCAGGTTAGATCAAGTATAGGCTATTGGATAGTTATTTGGAGCGGATAACTTCAACTTATCTGAATGTAAACTGCAATGTGCTGATAAACTTTTAACCTTTTCTAGGACCTGATTGGTTCAACGCCTTTAAAGCACGCTACCATTTGGCATGCCGCGTTCCTGAAGCAACCTCTCTTGGAAGAGCTACTGCCTTTAATAAGCACAACGTGGGGGAGTTCTTTGATAACCTCTCTAAAGTGAAGGACAGGTAACTTAATAATCATCTGGCTTTGACATGCTGATATGATCACTCCTCTCTCTCTCTCTCTCTCTCTCTCTCTCTCTCTCTCTCTCTCTCTCTCTCTCTCTCTCTCTCTCTCTCTCTCTCTCTCTCTCTCTCACCCACCCACCCACCCACACCCTGACTAGGTAACCTGGCAGCCTGGCGAGAGGGCACAGCATCTCTAGAGGGTCTTCTGTCCTCTGACATTTACACACACAACCACATCCAAGTATGTTAAAACTGCTTTAAACGTCTCTGATCATCAGCACTACCTTTTATTTCATTTCAGGTACAGCTTCCCTCCACACATGATGTACAACATGGATGAAACTGGTGTGACGACAGTGCAGACACCCAAGCAGGTTGTCACAGAAAAAGGGAAGAAACAAGTGGGTTCAGTAACATCTGCTGAAAGAGGAGAGCTCGTCACTGTGGCCTGTGCAGTAAACGCCACTGGAAATGCAGTCCCACCCATGTTCATTTTCCCGCATGTCCGCTTCAAGGACAGCCTCCTCAATGGATCACCAGCAGGTTCCATTGGTCATTGTACAAAGTCTGGATGGATGAATGAAGATGCCTTCCTCATCTTCCTGAAGCACTTCATCCGCCACACCAACTGCTCCACCGATCACCCAGTCCTGCTCATTCTGGACAACCATGAGTCTCACATCTCACTCAAGTCAGTGACAATTGCTAAAGAGAATGGGGTCATTATGCTCACCCTGCCACCTCATACCTCACACCGCTTGCAACCATTAGACAAAACTGTCTATGGACCACTCAAAACCTATTATAACCGAGCGATGGATGGGTGGATGCGATCACATCCTGGGCGAACCGTATCAATCTATGAGGTCTCGGAACTTGTGAAGCAAGCGTTCCTCTCTGCAATGTCACCAACAAACATAACCTCAGGGTTCAGAGCAACAGGCATATACCCTTTCAACAGGGACATCTTCCCGGAAGAAGACTATGCACCATCAATGGTGACAGACAGGGCAAATCCAGAAGATGAACCCAGTGCCACTGCTGACCTGCCTGGAGAAGAGCCCTCTACCAGTGCAGCTGCTCACCTGCCTGGAGAAGAGCCCTCCACCAGTGCAGCTGCTCACCTGCCTGGACCATCTCATGAGCCAACACATGTCACAGGTATTTAAAAAAAAAGTCTGGTAGGCCAATAGTGGCGGTGCGCATAGTGGCATGGCTCAGGCTTACCCTCCACCTGACCACGTAATCTTGTTGTTCCCTGTGTTCAATGACAATAAGTTCCTTTCCTTTCCTTTCCTTTCCTTGAAGCAGATCCAGACCCAGGAGAGCCACCTGCCACTCTGACAAATCCCGAGCACTTATCAAGTGACAAATCTGGTTCTTCTGCTCACTTGGGTTATGTGTCTCCAGAAGTCATTCTTCCCTTGCCAAAAGCCACAGAAAGAAAAAAAAAATGTGTAAGAAAGAAAGTGAAAACAAGAATCGTGACCGACACACCTGAGAAGATGGAGTTGGAGAAGGCTCACAAAGAAAAAGAAGATAAAAAGGCTGAACAGGAAAAGAAAAAGAATGAAAGAGAGAAGAAAAGGGCTCTGAAAGCTGCAAATCAAACCAAAACCAAGAAGAAAACAGCTGTGTACAGTAGCTCAGAAGAAAGCTCCACCACCAATGATGAGGCAGAAGATGGTCTGGAGAAGACACACAGCAGAGAAAAGGAACGGGCTGAGAAGAAGAAAAGGAGTGGAAATAAGAAGGGGGCTCTGAAAGGGTCAAAACCAACCAAGCCCAAAAGAAAGTGCTCTCCAGTAGCTCAGAAGAGAGTGACTTTCCGATTCCACTTAGCGATACCACTCATTATGAGAGTTCAGATGTCCAGAGTGATGATGATGATGGTGACAAGGATCTGTCTGCTGGTGACTTTGTCATTGTGAAGTTTGCAGGTAAAAAATCCAAATGCTATAACTATGTTGGATTGGTGGAGAATGTTGAAGGTGACGAGATCAGTGCAAAGTTTCTGAAGCAAAGTTATAAGAGGTCTGTTGATGGAAAGCCCATCTTCACATTTAGAGAGAATGATGAAGGAGTCATCCCTAGAGGTGATGTGCTCAAGAAACTACCCACACCACAAAAACTTGGTGGTACAGCCAGAAGGGAGTATAAATTCACATTCCCCTGCAGCATTGACAAGTGGGATGTTCAGTAGTAGGCCGAATCTGTGAAGAGATTCAGATGCAGATGATTTGCTGCTCATTTTTAAAGTGGCCTTTGATGTTGTTAAAACTTTAAATAAACATTAAATAAATAATTTTGTATTGAATGTGTCTTGCTTTTATATAGCATTATTGTTTGTGAGATTAAAATGATCTGTTTTACTTCAATTATCAATGGCACAATTTACCCCAGTGTATTGTCTCTAATGGCACAACTTACCCCGCACCGGGGGCAAGTTGTGCCACAAAACCACTTTTTTTTTCTAAAGCTATATTTCTCAAACAGTTTATTTAAGATCCGAAGTGATTGTTCCCAGGGATGCACAACATCCTAAACTATATGTACATATTTTAGTTGGAGGCATTACTGTAATCCCCTTGCTTTAAAGGCACTTTAAGTAAAATTGGCACTACTTACCCCACTCTCCCCTACATTACTTAGCCTTGTCATTTTTAGTAGCCTTACCATGAAGTTATTATTTTATTACATGAAGTAAACCAAAATGTTAAACAGTAACCAAACATGATGGTAAGTATTTCGTGAAACATTTGAAGAGTAGCCTACTGCGCCCTCCACCGGGTGCTAAGGAAGCAGTTCAGGGAGAGTCGAAGGCAGGCATGGAGCTTTGCATGACATTCTTCTGGACGTGTTTCATTGTGATGACAATCTGTTTGTTGTGTGCTTATTGAGAGAAAATTGTTAGAAGAGATAATTATTCAAAGTGTTGTTACTTTAAAGTGTTGTTACTGACCTTTTTCTCTTTTATTTTCTTTACCTCACCTGTAACTGCTGAGACGTTGAGGAACATGCACACTGACCTGCTCTGGCAACCTGATTTCCACTGTACGTAATAGTATTTGGTTATGGTATATTATTTATATACATCAAAGGCACAATGCACCCCCCAGAGACACACATGTATTGAGTGTGATATTTTGTATAGGTCATGTGAAATCATCTTTACATACTAGAAAACTAGGAGCGGCAACTTGTTTTGAAATTGAATTTGTAATATCCGATAATAAAGTTGATCTGTTTTCTTTATTCTTCTCTCTTCCCAGCTCCATCCATCACCATTCTCTGTTCCTGCAGGTCCTGCTTGCTAATCAATGCTCATATTTTTTTACACAATTACAAATAAAGTCATTGTATTGTATGACATGAAGTTGTGCTTCATTCGGAGTCAATAATAAATTAATTCTGCCTTCAACTGCGCAATGATTGTGGACTGCACCGACATCCATGTAGCTGCCCCCCAGTAAGATGAACCAAGCAAAGAGGGTCACCATCATGCCCAAGGACATCCAGCTGGCCCGCCGTATCCGCGGAGAGAGGGCTTAGACTGACCTGAGACCAGCACACCCAAACACAATAGCTCTTTTAAGAGCCACCTACAGTTTCAAAGAGTTGCAATCCTACGTTATTATAATGATTAAACTGGTTCATGTATCACTTAGTTTACTGAACCGTGATGAATGGAAGTGAAATGAGTGAGGTAGTGGTTTACTGAAGTTACAAAGACATTAATATATGAGTAACAGGTCAGTGTAAACACAAGCTTCTGTCAATTATGGATCATTCCAACTATTTATATAAAAATATGTAATAAAGTTCTAAAACAAGTATTCGGTATATTCCTTGATAGCTTTTGGAGAAGGATGTTTTTAAGTTTACTAAAATCTATCGTTTCAACTGTTTCACTTTATAAAAAAGGAACAGGTGAGTAGAGCATCATTGAGTTTATTATTCTGTCCGTAAATTATCCAAATGAATGTTTTTCATTATTTTAGTCAACCCTAAACAAATTGATTGTACCTTTTAATAATGACCTTACATGGTCGGCAAAGTTAAATTAACTTCAGAAAATCAAATCTGTTCTGAGAAAAAACTAATAAATGTTTAAAGATAGGAACTTGCCATCCCACTGAAAAACAGTCCATAGAGATTTAAAGGCGTAGTTGTAGTTCAATCCAACTTTCATTTGGATTCATTTGACAACAGTCAACTATTTTCAGAAAGAATATATATATATATTTATAAGTCAACTTTATTGTCAATCTTACTCAGTTTGTGTTTATAGACAGAGATCAAAAAGACGTTTAAATAAAATTATACAATTTACAGATATGTATACAAATATATATATATCCTATATACACCATCATGTATAATGATGGTGTATGCTGTAGAAGGAAGTGTGTTAGATAACAAGTAAATATAGAGTTACATACAGATCCATGTTACAGCAAAAGATGGAATAACTCAGAAGCACGCAGTATAATAATAATTACATGCAACAATTAAATAACTGCTCAGCATCTCCACCACAATCCCAATCTGCTGTGTCCTGTTTTCCTCTCCTCTGCATAACACCCCATCACACATACGAAACACAACGCAGAGTCCGAGGGTGTTAAGAGTGTGTTTATTTAAATGTCCTCCTCTCTACTGGCCAACACAGGGAGCATATGCTGGGTGTAGAATTGTTCCAGGAGGAGGAGATTTCCATGCCATGCAGGGTCTTTGGGGATGGGGATGATGATCGCCTCCTTCGTGGTCCACACAACAAAGTAGCAGAGACTCCGGTCAGTGATGTGCAGCTGCCCTTGGACCTGGTGCCAGTATGGGTGATTCTCCTTGAGAATATATGACCCCACCCTCCGCACGGAGACAGAAGGATGGTAACTGGACTGCCTCCGCGATGGTCATGTTCCTCTGGCTGTGTGGACACTTCACCTACAGCAGGGCAGATGGCTGCACAAGTCCATCGGGTGATGCTCCCAAAACACCCGACTCACTCACAAAGAGACCAGACTCGAACACTGTCACCCGATAGGCCTGCACAAAAGCCTTCACCCCTTCGGCCTCGTTACAACCCCCCAGTTGACAGTTGGCGATTGTCTCTGGCCAGTGGGTTGTATGTCTCCTCTCGCTGTTGGTAAAGTTGAGACACCGGCTGGACTACTTTGGAAGTGCCAGGCTTCCTCCACTGGCACTCAACATCTGTGGAGCTGATCTGCCACATGGCAAATATTGCCAATGCTGCAGCGTGGCTGCATTTGTACATCTCCTGTGCACAATCACAGACAGCGCTCTGCATCGCGCCATCGTCTCCCATGCAGATCTGTACAAATAAAGTAAGTACCATTTGTTAGCATGCTATAATAGATTGAATGAGCAATAATACAAGGATGGTCCGGATCTGGGGGTGGGAGGGTTTATTTTTCCATAGTTTTGTCCTCTTGTCTGTTGTTATTGTTTGTTTTTTTTGTAATTTGTGTTGTATTATTGTGATTGTACATTGTATTTTTTCTAAATGTGTATGAATACATTTTTTAAAAACATTTGATCAACAATAAAAAAGGATTTGGTCAGGATCTAGACTCAGTGTGTAGTTTATTAATTAATCAATGCTCTCTACATTAGGAAAACACATACCAGTGTACCAGAGGGAGTCACACACAGCTGTGCCTAGATAACCAAAATCCTTGAATCTACACACAGCAAATAAAGTCAAATGACACAACGAGAAAAAGGAGATCACACATACAGTATAGTCGATATAAAACTGGCCGCTTCAATCTGAAGAGCAACTAAAACAAAACACGGGAGTGTACCTTGTTCTTGTGAACACTAATGTTATCCACAGCATACACAGACCACGAAGTTCTTAAGGAGAAAACTAGTTGCTAAAACAAAACACGTTAGTGTACCTTGTTCTTGTGTACACTAATGTTATCCACAGAATACACAGAGACCACGAAGTTCTTAAGGAGAAAACTAGTTGCTAAAACAAAACACGTTAGTGTAACTTGTTAGCTAATGTTAGCTAGCTGACATTAACGTTAAACATTGCACTCATATTACTTACCGAAACCTTGTAAAGCCGGTCCCGCATGCTGGCTCTTACAGAACCGACTAACTCCCTTTCATATAGGTACAGCTCTCAACGTGCCCAGACTTGTAGTGATTTTCACCTCGTAAAATACTTTTATTCTCATTCTGAAAGAATGTGGTGAAATGTGCTAACGTGACGGCCATCTTTATGTTGGTGACGCGTATTGTGCGAGACCAGAGACCTGTAGTTCACTGAGCGGTTTCACACGAAAAAATGTGTAACTTCACAGTTTTACAACACATTTTAATTTGTTTGACTTGCAAAATGTTCTTTTAAATTGACAAACATCATATGTGTCATTCGTGGCACAATTCAAACGGGATCAAAAGATAACCTTTCTCTCTCCATTGACTTCAATGTATAATTTTCCGCTTCCGGGGTCCCATGGAGGCTTTCGGAAGGGGACAACTGCAACGAAAGTAACACAAACAATTATGTTAAAGTACTATGATACTGTACTGATATCTTCAGACTTTGTTCTTTACTTTCTCCGTCTTTATATGTAGAAGATAATAGGCTTGTTTGAGACAAGCGAGACCTGCGCAGACCTGCGCAATTTCGATCAACGTCTTGCTCGTGCGTTGCATGATGGTTAGTCATTTTGTCCGACTTGCTCTGGAGGCTCGCCCACATGAGACGTTGAAATCTCGCGGGACAAAGACGCCCGCAGCCTTGAGAGCGAGGCGCGGCGAGGCGGCGCAGTTCCTCTCCACGGGCTGCGGAAGCGAAATGCTTGATGGGAAACGACTCGCTGGTATCTCGAGCTGGGCGCTCATTGGTGGTTTTTTCCACGTGCTGGTGATGAAACTCTCCAATTGGCTGGGCAAAAGTTTGTTGTTGTTTTGTGTCAGTTTTACGTCGCCACTTCCATTCACATTTTTCATCATTGTTCCACAATATTTATCATCATTAAATTAATATCCATATATTTTATACTATACTTGCACTGCTTACCGTTTTCATACTTTATATATCTTAGCATATTCATACACACTGTTCATACTGCTCACAGGCTGATATCTAGTGTATTCATATCCCTCACTGTTTATTCATCATTCAATTCATTCTATATTTTATTCTGTCTATTGTGTACATTACTTTTCACTTCACTGCTTGTTGCACCTGGTTAGAAGCTAAACTGCATTTTGTTGTCTCAGTACCTGTAATATGTGCAATAACAATAAAGTTGAATCTAATCTTGAGCAGAA